TGACCATCACTGACCCCTCACTGACCCATCATTGAGCCCCATTGACCATCACTGACCCCTCACTGACCCATCATTGAGCCCCATTGACCATCACTGACCCCTCACTGACCCATCATTGAGCCCCATTGACCATCACTGACCCCTCACTGACCCATCATTGAGCCCCATTGGCTATCACTGACCCCTCACTGACCCATCATTGAGCCCCATTGACCATCACTGACCCCTCACTGAGCCCCATTGGCTATCACTGACCCCTCACTGACACAGCATTGAGCCCCATTGACTATCACTGACCCCTCACTGACCCATCATTGAGCCCCATTGACCATCACTGACCCCTCACTGACCCATCATTGAGCCCTGTTGACCATCACTGACCCCTCACTGAGGGGTTGGGGAGGGTCAGTGATTCTCCAAGCACAGACATTGGACTAAATGGTCTATAATTCTCTGGGATCCCACTCTCTTTTCTTAAACAATGGAGTGATTTACAATTGTCCCTTTTATTGAACTGTTTCTGAACTGGGAGAACTTTGGCAATGTTCTCACTTCTTTTAAACCACCTGGTTCTGAGGCATTGTCACTGCTCTGTGCCATTGATTTCTTCATTCTTGCAACCTGCCGATCTCCACCTCTGACATTCCCAGTTTAATTATTCCATCTGGGAATAAGCCGGGTATCACAGTGCAGGATTATCATCCAGGGTCTTCACTGTCCTCGTGTGGAGTACAGAACAATTAAACACCAAATAACCCACAGGTACCGCAGTCCATCTCAAAATTAAACCTCCTTTTGAAATGATATTTATTCAGATGAGCCAAGTGCGGAATCAGTGGTTTGACACTTTAATACAGTGAATAGAACAAATCAGGTTTCAGCAAGAAAATTCATACAAGTGCAAACAAAAATGATTTTTGACAGAATCAAGAGGGGCACAAGCAGACTGAGGAGGCGTCCTGGAGGATTTGCTCACTAACAGTCCCAGGACAGTTGGTCATTTGGTCACTATCACAGAAGGGCAGGGGTGAGCTGGGCTGGGGTGAGGGTATGGGGTGGAGCTGTAGGGGCAGGCCTGCTGTGTGGGGTTTGGGCTGGGACTGGGAGCAGTGGTGAGGGTGTGTGAGGCAATGGGGAGGAATTTGGTCACTCATTGCCGACACTGGGGGAACAGGCTAACTTGTTGCCTTGGTGACCCTGTCAACATTGAATTAAAAGGTTATACCCACCATCAGATCTCCCACCTATCATTATCCTTCAAAACTAAAGGCAAAAAATCTTTGAAAACATTCCTCTAACAGGACACAATGTTTGGATCTGCATTTACACTCTCGTTCATTTTCAATAAGTTTTGATTTGAATTTCCCCGGCTGAGGAGGTCACTACTGATTCAGTCCTGTACTCAGGAAGCTCTGCTAAACCCAATCCCCAACCAACTAATGTCTAAACCCAGACACGGGTTCACCACAGTAACTCTGAATATTCTCCTCCACACCCTGCTTCAGCCCACAGCCTCCTCCCCATAAAAATCTCCTCTGTCACCCCTCACTCCACTCTGACCCCCTTCAACCTGTCCTGTTATTCTCACCCTGCTCCAACACGTTGACCCTGTCCTGATGACCGTCCCCTCCCCCTCCCCCTGATTTGTCTCCTTGTCCCCACACCCCCACTCCTCACTCTCAATACTAACTCATACCCCAGCTCCTAGCAACAATCTCAGTGCAGAGCTGGGATGGACTCATTCTGCAGTCAGCTACCTCTGATTGGAGCACGCAACTCAGGGAGCTGACATATTCTAACGCACAATGACCTTCATTCAAACCTAAACCATCCTGGCAGGTATACCAGCCTTGGCTTATTTACTTTCTAACAAACTACATTATTCAGGACCACATGCAGAATGGTATTGCTGTCTGATCTGGTTATTGTGGAGAAGGTGGATCGTGGAGAGCTCTCCCTTCACTGTTGCAGTCTATGTGCTGTAGATAGACCCACAATGCCCTGATGGAGGGAATTCCAGGATTTCGACCTGGCGACAGTGAAGGAACGGCGATATATTTCCAAGGACGATCAGTGGTCTGGAGGGGACCTGTCACGACAGAGAGACTGCGTGTTCAGGCCTGAGCGCTGTCACTGTTGTATTGGTAACAGGGAAATGATGGGAATCAGAGTCAGTGCCAAGTGGTTACTGTACGCCAAGGCTACATGGAGATGTGGAATTTCCTTTAGCAATGACCTTCACTGATATCAGAAAGCACGATGGGAAGGAACCAACTTGGGCAAAAGTTTCCTGTTTATTCACAGCCAAAGTGACCAGATGTTTTCAGAACTTGTTCCTTGACAAACAAATCTCGCTCACTTTAATACTCCCAGGAGCACCTCTCACCTTCCTCAGAAGCCAAGAGCCAAAGAGACACAACTGAATTCTTTAACAAAACTTTTCCACATATATTAAAGAGTTTTAAATATCTAGAGACTTGACAGGTGCCTGTGGTTGTACTCCTGAGGGTACAGGTACATCCAGAGGCTGCTCTGTTGATGGGTAAGACAGTGAGGGTTGCTCCGATGACGTCTCACTCTCAATGCAAGGAGATGGCAGTGATGGCCCGGTCAGGTACTGACAGTCAGGTTCTGAGAACATTTCCTTTGGCATTACTGAACCTGAAAGGGGACATGAGAGGCGGTTAGATTGTCCTCGGGTTACTGTGTGCTGTGTCTTGTATCAACACTGCGACATGTTTGAAGGAGGGATCACTGAGAGACTGTGCCCACTAAACCCACCTCAGTGGCTGCCCTCTCACTGCTATCCGTACAGAATGACCAATGGTGACAATGCTCACCTGGATCTGACATGAAATTCATTGATATCCCATCCACTGTTAGAAGCATCCACTCCCTCCACCACTGATGCCCAGTAACAGCAGTGTGTACCATCTACAAGATGTACTGCAGCAACTCACCAAAGCTCCTTCCAAAACCACCATTTCGAAGAACCAGAGCAAAGGATTCAGGCAAAAGTCACCATTTTCACGTTTCCCTCCAACGTTCACCATCCTGACTTGGAAATATATTGCCGCTCCTTCTCTGTCACTGGGTCAAAATCTGGAAATCTCTCCCTAAGGACATTGTGGGTCTACCTACAGCACATGGACTGCAATGGTTCAAGAATGCAGCTCACCCCCACCTTCTGAAGGGCAGGGATGTAATACAGCAGATAACATTCCTTATGATTATCTTTAGTCCCAACTAATGTGACTCTGTTACAATGTCACTAAAAGCTCATCACTGGTAATAAATCTAACCAGCCCACCAGAATAACCCGTCAATGGAGAAATCAAAATTAATCAAATAAATAATGAAATGTAATATAAAAGGAAACTTTTAAAAATGAAAACTGGATACATTTGGAATCTGAAATAAATATCAGGATTCTAGAACAGCCACAGTTTTATTAAATTCATTGAAAGAAAACTACATTTCAGGAAGCTTGTGAGAAAGAAGGAAAATCAATTATTCAAACAAGGAGGAGCACCGCATCTGACACCAACACCGAAGACATGTGCTCCCAAACTCCTGACTTGTCTGGCA